ATGCGGGACTCGATCCCGGGACTCCAGGATCATGACCTGAGCCGAAGGCAGTCGCCCAACCAACTGAGCCACCCAGGCGCCCCCACCCACAAAATTCTTAGCACACACTAGCTTAATCAAACCTACATAATCCACTTCTCGTTCCCCCACTTATTCTCTTCACCTCTGAAATGCCACCTGTTCCAACTGCATATACATACCAAACATGTGTGATATTTTATGTTCCAGACCCCTGACTTCATGCTGTATCTTGGTACCACCCTACTCCTTCAGACTTGCCTGTGGCTTTTCTAGCTGTGGTCTCAAGTCTTCATATTATACTTGAATCTACTAGGCTGACCCTCCTCTTCCAACATTTTAATGTATATTCAGAGAAATCAAGGGAATTTAACAATTCACGCAACCTCTTTTTCAGACTAACCCTAAGAGATATTCTACTCAACATTTACAATCATTTAATCTAACAAATACTGATAATATACATATTATGTGCCAGATGCTGGGTTTGGCACTGGAGATACAAGAAAAAGATAAGGTCTCTGTCTAGATGGAGCCAGTCAAGTAAACAAGTAGTTAAAATATGGATGATATATTCTATAGTAGAATAAAGAAAAGGTGCTGGAAGCAAAAAGGAATAGCAACCAATTGCTTGCATTCATTCATTTTAAATTAATTCATTTACTATGTATAAAACAACTACTAGATGCCAACCGACAGGTATAAAATTGGTAATGTTTGAGAGGAGGCTTGATCAGTGTTTTCTCTGGCTAACAGTATCCCTGGACCTCCCCTCTAACTGGTTCTCAAGTGTAAATGTACACCTGGAGCACCTGAGGAGTTTGACAAAAGGCAAATCATTATCACACCACCCTGGAGATTAGGATTTAGGCCATCATCATAGGTCCTGATGATCTGAAGATTACTAGGCAATCCAGGTAATTCTGACTTGAGGATTTGAGAATCTGACTTTGAGAAAGTCAGCATTAAAGCAATCATTCTCATGGTGTGCTTCCTGGAGCATCAGCATCAGCATCACCAGGAAACCCGTTAGAAATGCAGATGTTCACTCCCATCCCAAACCTATTGAATCAGAAACTCTGTGGGTAAGGACAACAATCTGTTTTAATAAGTCCTCTAAGTATGCTGATGTGTGTTGAGAACCGTACCATAGAGGGGAAGGATCACCTGAAGACTGTGAAATGGAACTTACACCTCTGCCTGACATATTTGAAAAGTAAAATGATTATTTCTGCAAATACATCAGGAACACATTTTGTGTCTTTATGGATTGCCAAATTCCATCGGTCATGGCACACCCAAAGTGGAAACCAGAGTCCTAGTTAGGATAAGGATTACCCCTCACCTCAGATTCAAGTATTTTAAAGAGCCCCACTGCCCCAGACTCAAGGACTTACAAAGTCTCGGTATTGAGACAGGTTAACAGTTGGCCAAGTGCTTTAATGGAGTAAGTATATCATTGCATCTCAGCAATTGTTCACACTGCTGAGCAGTGCCCAGTAATTTTTGTCAGTGCATATCTATAACAGAACTTTTCATACAATTGGGGGAAAGCTATATACATGGACTTGGTAGTTTGATAGAAATGGTTAAAACAGGGGCGCCTGGGTGGCTCAGTCGTTAAGCGTCTGCCTTTGGCTCAGGTCATGGTCCCAGGGTCCTGGGATCGAGCCCCACATCGGGCTCCCTGCTCAGCGGGAAGCCTGCTTCTCTCTCTCCCACTCCCCCTGATTGGGTTCCCTCTCTCGCTGTGTCTCTGTCAAATAAATAAATAAAATCTTTAAAAAAAAAAAGAAATGGTTAAAACAATCATAGAGTTTATACCAGCAGGAAACTTTCAGTAAGAGGAGAATTCCCAGTCAAAAAGTAACAAATAAAAAAACTATTCAAATAAAATATCTAATGACTTGACACATTTTCTAAAATAAAAATTACTAGGGATCTTTTATCTCCATTTTAAAGCATATAATTTCTCACAATAACATTGAAATTATCATTATAAAGTTTGCAAATTCACACATACATACACACACACACACACACACACAAATTTCTCTTCAAGTATCCTCTTTATACCTAGCTTTGAATGTAACTTTATGTAAAATCTAAAAGTTAGAAAACACATCCTTGATAGTACCTCACATAATTGGGAAAAGGCTATTTTATTTTATTTTTTTTTTTACTTACTTATTTTTGAGAGAGAGAGAGAGGGAGAGAGCATGAGTGGGGCAGGGAGAGGCAGAGGGAGAGGGAGAGAGAGAATTCCAAGTAGTATCTACGCCTAGTGTGGAGCCCAATGTGGGGCTTGATCTTATGACCCTGAGATCATGACCTGAGGCAAAATCAAGAGCTGGATGCTTAA